CCTCGTGCCCGCCCTAAGTGAAGGCGGGCCAGCAAATCAACAAGAGCCCTCTGTGCAAACATTTCACGAAGTGGGGTCCATACAGTTGCAGCACGCCAGAGGCCGAAAATGCCAAAGGGAAATCGGCCCACTATCCGAATCTGGCCGCAGGCCTTGACAAAAGAGGCGCAACTGCATCACCCGGGCCCCAACTGCATCGGGCCTGGGTTCAGGCACTGGGGCCCAGTCACAGGCTGAAGGGAGGCCGCCCACACGCAACACTGGCATATAGGCAAGCAGGGCGAGTGGGCAGGTATCTTTGGCCGATGCAGGCGTTGCCGGCATGCTGCGCGAATGCGAGCTGCTGCGCGGTGTAAAGCTGCGTTGGGCAGAGGGAGGCAGACAGCGCTAATGCGGTGGTGCGCTGTCTGGGCGCAGGGCGCTGGCATCCATAGCCAGGCTGCATGAGGGCGCAGGGGAGGTGAGAGTGAAGGTGGTTCTTCGGAGGTGAAGGGCGCTGTGTGGGATAACAAGGGAGAGTGTGGGTGAAGGAGGAGACGTACCTGGTGGAGGTGGAGGTCGGCATTGGTGTTGACATCATCACTCGCTGGTCGTCAAGTTGTCTGGTTGCTTTCATTGCTGTAGTTGTAGGCTTAGGCTGTAGAGTAGGTAGGGCGCCTGGCGCCATTCAGAGAGAGAGCTAYATTGGGTTATGCTGTTGGTGTTGCCSTGTGGGGCTTGGACATTGACTCACGATTCTTCTGTATTGTTCTCAAATGGATGGTTACTCGGTTCCATTGTACTATCTGCTCTTGCTTTGACTACTTGGACTTCAGTGTGATTTTGCAATCTGGATTTTTGTGCTTCGTCCATATTCATGTTCCTTGCAATTTGGTATCGGAGCTGGTATGATTTGCCACTTACCTTTGGCACGCTGGGGTTATACAGACTTGGTGCGTTGATGATGCTTCTTCGCAGTTGGTTCTTGTGACGTCAGGCCATTGATAGGCGCACGCCCTGGGTAGAGAGGGGTCCGCCGGAAGGCTAAGACGGCAATGTATGCCGTAGTGACAGGCGGAATGTATGATTGGTGATGAGAGCATGCTGATGTGGCATTAGGCTGAGGTGGCACTGCATTGCGTTGTGGGTAGTACCGAGGCCAAGGACCGGTCATCAAATGCACACTCAGCTCAATTGGTGAGAAATCTGTGGTTGGGGGCAGCTATCTCCAGGTACGTTGTTCCCTTACCTTATCTACTCTCTCAATCTCTTCTTACCGTGAGGAAGTGAGTCCAACTTGAGAGTCCTCTCTTTTGGTGAGGTGTCGTGAGCGCGCTACCTTGAGAGACGATAATCTTCCCGGAAGCATCTGGAAGGAGAAAGGGCGGTGCCTCTGAAGGGCCCTGGTCGAAGCACTGGGTCATGGTCACCATGCCAACCCAATGGCTGTAGGTCACGCATGCGATGGCTGCTGTCCATTTTGGCACTTGCTGCGCTGAATAGAAGTCCTGCCGGGTGTGCCAGCCTTTTATGAGACGCTTACCAGCCCGTCTATAAACATTTCTGGTTTGGGACTTGGTTGATTCGTCGTCCTGACTGCGACGTTAAAGAATTTCTGAAGAGATGGGGGCGCTCTATAAATTCCTCCTGATCAGCCAGATCAACCGGGTGTAAGGCTCGTTCCGTACGAGGGTAAATAAGAGTGGACTGGCTGGCTTGCTCGACAATGACTTGGGCACAGGGGTGGGCCGAAAAACACACGAAGACACTGCTCGCTCAATGATGCTTACCAGTATGTTGGATTGAGGGGAGGGTAGGTTCTAATTGGTGCTCAACTGGAAACACAACCATACCCATCAATCAATCATACATCTGCAACATGGTCTTTTGTATTCTTGATTAGTTGGTGGACAGACTGCTAACACCTCACAGATTAGATTACAACTGTTGTATGCTACCATAGCCAGTTCTATCTATTGCTGCTGTAAGTGAACCCATCAGGATACGCATAGACTATGATGACAATCTGTTGTGAATGTTGTAGACATGCCACTTGATCGGTACAGTAGGGAACTTGCCAAACACAACTATTTTTAGAAAATTAGGTGCCGGACAGACACATGCTGTGGTAGGACTCCACTAGGGGGTTCTAGTGCAGATAATGTTTGCCTATCAGACGTCGATGAGGAGAGAGTTGACGATGCCCGGGCGAGATCACGTAGGATCCCGCACGTGTTTTAGACCTTACAACCGGAAAATGAAAGACGGCTTCGTGCCGAAAACGCAGAGCCCGTGCACTAGCAACAGCTAGGGAAACAGCAAACGCCGCAGCTAGGGAACAGGCTGCAGCAGCAGTCATGGCAGCAGCCATGACTAGTTCAGCAGCATCCTCTGCTACGTTGTCTGGGACCAATGGGACCCAGTTGGGAATGCCAACAGGGTCCACGGGTACTTCCAGTTCGTTGGGTTCTCGTCAGTCTACAAGTCAAATGGCGGGCTCGCAGTTCAGCCCGTTGACTCCTCGCGAAAGGGAGCTCAGGGAGCTCCAGCAGGTCGAAAGGATCCGTGAACAGTTAGAGAGGGACCTGAAGAAAGCAACCGATAGAGAAAGAGAGATTAAAAATAGAACAGCCAGGCTTGATAC